TTTTTTAGAAAAAAGTCACACCATTGACAAACAAAATAAAAACATAGCGCGCGCGCTCTACGAAGACTAGAAAAAAATGGCTGTAATCGGTTTCTTTAAACGCCAACAAAAAAAAAATTGAAGGCCACAGCGGTTGGAAAGAGTTATCACCCCGATTGTTTCTTGCAATCGAAAGCAACCTAAAATCACTCAAAGGGATATCAACAATAACGTTCTGTTTAACAAAACTTAAGCTTATCAAGTTATTTACAATTTCTATACAGACTATTCAACCACGAATCCGCCGCGCGCAGTTTTATGAAACAAGACTTACTTTGTTACATGTCGCGCACAACGAAAAACGTTTTATGAAACAGCAAATAGTGCACGCGCGCTATGAAAACCTCCTTTGAAACTGCAAATAGTTTACAAACCCCTCATACCATTGTTTTAAGAACTTAGTCTGCAATTATAAGCTAAATAAACTCCTCCCTTAATGAAAACATAAAAGCGTGCGCTCTTCGAAGACCAGTAAAAAAATCTTGGCTTTAATTGGTTTCTTTTTATGTGTTTTTATATCTATAAAACGGATAAAGACTACAGCATTTGCGGAGAGAGAGTAACAACCCAGATTGTTTCTTGCGATCGAAAGCAATCTAAAATCATTCAAATGAATAGCAATAATAGCGTTGCTTTACAAAACTTGGAGTTATTTACACCGTCCATTGACTACGAGTTGGTTAGGTTAACATAACCTGACAATAGTGAGCATTGAGGCAGTGATATAAAAGACCTGCTAAAAAACACAGATGATAAATCCAGCTTCACTTCTGCTAGAATGTTCTCAAAGTTTAAAGTCGCAACTCCGCCGAACGCGTATCATTACCAATTACCAATTGTCGAAGTGTATGAAGCTGAAATTAGGAAACTTCGTTGCGAAAACGAATTGTTAAAAGTTCAGGTCGTTCAACTGAACGAGGTTCTGGCCCAGCTGCAACTACAGCAAGCGGAAAAAGCGCCATTCAGATCGACGGAAAGAGTTTTTCCAGTTGACTAAGTCGGCGAGAAACACTAAAAAACACAAGATTAGGGCGTTGGTACTCCAGTCAGTTCAAGGACTCGAGGAGTTTGTCCCAGTTGAGGTATGTTCATTTTCATCTTACTTTATACAGTTGTGAATGATTCACATTTTCACATTATTCTTACGTACTTTCGCAATTTAACAATAGTAAGGAGCTTTCTGATTTTGCTAAGAAACACGCATTTTAACGGATCTGGACTTGCATGCAAACTTCAACGAATGAATAACAATCACATCTGGAAACGGCTTTCAGAGTGGAGAAATTTGAACACGGATTGTTGTGAAAGATGAATATTTCAACTTTCATAATATTTCATCTTTCACATTTCATTTCCGAGCTTTAAATTTACCATCTTTCTTTATTTATCGCGGATTATTTTATTAACAGCCAGTACAAACTCGATGTAAATGTTTCATTTCGAAAAAAAAGCAATTAATAAAAACATCAGTTTAAATTAAGTAGGATTTCGTCACAATACTTTTACTAATACTGTCTTTTATAATGTTCTTGATCAAGTTCAGTGTACAAGGTAAAGAAGTTCTTATCCCCCTTGGCTCTGTCGAAGAAGAAGAAGAAGACGAGGTCAAGGAAGAAACAACCCAGCGTGTTCTTGTGGCCAAAGACTCTTGGCTCATCTCTGATGAAGCTTACCACGAATTGAGGATGTCTCTCCCAGAAGATGCCAGAGCCAGTATACCGCCCATCAATGCACTAAAAGACAAAAGAAACAGGCAAAATAAGACCGTGGACATTCATCACATCACTGAGGTAAGAGGCTTAATTTTTTTATAGCATGAATGAAAGATAAAACAGCTAGCTGAGTAATGGGCTGAAATTTTCAATGGTGGATTATGAGAAATGTTAAAAATATGTTAAACTAACAGCTGAGAAATGGATTGAAATTTTAACTGACAGCTGATATTGAAAAATGAGACTGAAATGAAGATTTATTTAACATGGAACTCCACTTAGCTGGAGGATACTTTGCAGGAAGCCCAAGGGTTAAAAAAAGACAATAAATTAAAAATGTACCAAGAGGAATTTATTATTAACATAAAAGGGCATAAAAAATATAATGCTTTACTATGGATAAAAAATGTTGCTGAAAATTACCACCCAAAGGGGTGATGAGTGCCCTCAACTTCTTATTTAGAGTGATAAGTATGTCTAGCATACAATACTGTGAGCCACAATTTAAACTGATAACCAAGAAATGAGGTTTTTAACTTATTACAAGGAATGAGTAATAGGTAATCAATTGAATAGTCATTAGACAATCACTCCATAACTCGTCTGCCATTGAATGTTGATTAGTCATGTCTGAGAAACAAGTCTGTTTTATACTAAGCAACTATGCTATAGATACCACAGTATGGCACTAATGAGCAACTAGCAGCTGTTATCTATTTGACTAAACTTGAGGAGTTTTAATTTTCTTTAATTTAATCATTCAGAAATTCTCTTACTCAGGCAAAAAAGGCAGATGGTGCATATCGCAACATTAAGGATATTCTCATGCAGCTTCTGCTTATTCCTGGTGTAAAAGAAGCGGTACAAGCAAACGGAAACCACTTCAATCTCCGCTTTGCTGCTGATGGTAGATGAACGAGCAATAAGATTGGTACCGTCATGGCTGTGTTCAGCATAATGGATGAGAAAAAGCACGGATCATGTGACCATCAGTATACAACTGCTTTGTATAATGGTAAGAGGCTATTCAATATATTCTGGTAATATATAGATTTAGGCCAGCCTAAAAGTGGAGCACCTCAGTTATTTTTCGGAATGACACTAATGAAAATAATCCAACTTGTATGAGGTAAATTGCGAATGATTTAATAGTTTGAGACGGAACTAGTATTACATCAGCAGATCGAGGTGTAAGATGGTGTGATTATGAAGTATAGAGCCATGAT